GGCACACCCACGTGACTTCAGTGGGATATCTTCAACATACTACAAAATCAATAAGTGATTCGACTTTAAGCGGGTTCCATCCGAAAGTTGTTCTATCAATAGGCAAATGCCTTGTCTGTAGACCGACAATTATATTATAGTACTTGTATGTACGTAGTGAAAATTCAAGACAACTCAAAAGGCAGCGGTGAGGGGAAGGGGAAGAGGGCTAAAATTTCCTTTGAACCAACAAGAAACCTATCTTACTACAAGTACAGATGTCATAAGACTGTCAGTGGCACCATGCATAACTTTAAAAGACTCACAGCATAATCGGGCTGCAGAAGCTTGTGCTGGAATTCTTCATCCTCGGACGTGGTGCCATGCACTAAGAGCTCCAGCTGCTGAAAAAGGTGCTGACCATATGGAGACTAGCAACAATACACACACATCGTACCCAGCACAACAAGGAGACACAAGAGAATTGCAAGAAATAAGAAATCACTGTCAAGGGCAGTGGCCTGGCTCTTCCAAGACATGCACTGTAAGGCGATAAATGTTTGCGGCGTGCAATTTTTGCGTTTTCAAGAATTGCACTAGTTCACGATGAGAAACTTTTGCGAGTTTATCTCTTCAATTGGATCTTGTACAGTCTACAATCAATGCACAGAGCTCTTTGCGGCGATTTATATCCGCGAACGCGTGGTCGCCAAAAAAGCGAAATTTAATCTCTAGCGAAAGATTCTTACTTTACAGTACAGTAGAACTCCCCTTACCCAGGCATGTTGGGGCTGGGCACAGCCCGCCGCTAGGAATAGGCCGCTACTCAGAACTTACATACTCATCCATGCACACAAGTAAAAGCTTGTTATTCCAATCAATAATTTTTGGGGCTGTATTTCATTGAGGTCATTATTTCTGTGACTCAAAGAGGGGTCAGAAAGGTGTCTGGCTGTGATCGGATCTGGGGAGTCCGGATTAGGAGAGTTCTACTGCAGTAGGCTTGTACAAACAAGCCAGGTTAGATTAGGCCGCAAAATAATTTTCAAAAAGCATGGGCTATTCAGTAGGTACCTAGCTGCCCGGGTTTTTTCTACAGGAGCAATTGGTGCACCACCTGAAACAAACTGCATTGCACACTATAAGTATAGGGCGCATTGGCTTTGGTTCAAGCTGTGTGCGGATCAAGTAGGTGGACATTAGAGTGATGAATTATAGAATAGATGCCTCGATCTGGATAGTCATTTTCCAACACCGTACATGTAGCCAGAATGACGCAGCACAGTACATAGCAGATGAGCAAGCAAATCACGCATCATCATACATGCGTTACGTAGCATGCACGAGTGAATGCAGCAGACCTGAGTTATCCAGACTAACCTCAGCAGGAGCAGAGAAACATCTTGCCAGCACTTCAATGTTGGTCGTCTCTGGTGGATAATGCATATTCCTGTGGACGAGCAATGACAAGCACAAGTCAACGTTGGGCCAAACATTGGAAGTATACACCTGCCCAATTAGCATTATGAGCAAACAGAGTCGGAAATTATGGTACTTCAAATAAAATTGATTGCAAACTGCAGCAAAGGCATCTCCAACAACAGCAATGTTCTTCAACAATCAAACTTGAAGGCGACTACATTTTAAAAGTACAAAGCCAACATCATCTGTCACAAACATGCAATACACAACTGACAGCAATGCACCCGTTAATAGCAAAGCTGTAACCTTTACCTCCATGTCTCCTTCAACTCGGAAAACAGTTCTCGACGCTGTGCATCCATTCTGCCCTCGCACACACCGCGATGATAGCGTTCAGCAGCCATTTGTTGACATGGGGCAGAGCAGTACTGGACCTAGAAACAAGACCATGAGCAGCAGCAACACGATCCATACTCTAGCACACTGTGGGGACACACCGGTAGCTACTACTTGTTGAGAGCTGTTGCTACTGCTGCTTCTGTTGTTGTTCTAGCTGTTGTTGCAACCCAGGTGTTATTGACTTATTGTACACTATGTCTAGCTGTACAGTAGCCACCTCTAGAAATCCGGACCACTAAGCACTAGTAGCTGGAATAAACGCTGTTGGATTAAGAGTCGCTGACACGGCGTAATTGCGGTGGGAACCACGTAAACGTGGGCAATGCCAAGGCGGCATACTGGATTTGCCTGATCCCAACCAAAGCACGTGCCCGCTGCGTTGACTACACTCTCTGCACAATCGACTCGGCACTAGAAATAGAGAAATTTGAAACATGTCGGCCATTGGCTGTCATTAGTGAAGAGGTGCATTGTTTAATTTTTGAATTTTCCTTTTCTTGCAGTCGAAATGTTTGCTAGTAGTCTGCAAGGTTTCCCATTGCTATGTGGACAATGCTATGCAGTTCTGGCTGTTTATGTTCATGTGTACATTTTCTAGCGACCAGGGAGCGGTCAGCACTACGGCACTACTTACTTCACAGTCAGGGCATTTCACGTACGTACTGGGTTTGGATTCACAGCAGTCAGCGGAGAGGGGCAAGTCAATACTAGGCTGGCTGCTGAGGCGACATGCCATCTCCTCTGCAGTCTCCAGAGAGCGTAGACAATACTCGCACGCCAAGTACTTGTACTCGCGATTCCACGAGAACTGGCACGACATGAGAGGTGATTCGATGAACAGCGTTTCATCCTCCTTGAAGGGACGCTTGGCGATGATCGCTCTGCCACGACCTGCAACCTCTTCAATAGACAATCCAGATTCCTCAAACGATGGGCCACAGAGGCCTGCTATTCCTGCAGTCGCCATACTGAATTGGTCAAGTGATTGTTCCCACAAACTGTTCAAGGGGATTGCAACTTAATCAGAACTTCATGGAACAAGAATGGAAATGCAAGTACATAATTGTATAGTAATAATGTTGCTGAATATGATCTGAAAATGAACCAAACAGTCAAAGTAATTATTTTTAGTTCGAATGATCAAAGAAAGCATGATTTATTTTTTATTATAATTGTTGCAAATCCATCCATTTTTTTGGA